GCGAAGAATACACGCACGAAGCTGAAAGATGAACGGGGAATGCACGTCCGAGCGATGGCGAGTCGCTGCATGCCCTTCTCCAGTGCCGCGGTCCGACGGTCGATCTTGCAGGGCTGGGGGCCTGATGCCAGAGGGGCTAGTTACTGCGTGGGATGAGACGGTCTTTGATCAAGTCTCTCCACGCTGAAGGCAATTGGGGTGGAGCTAAAGTCAAGATCCCGCAAAGGGGGGGGTGCACTGTGTGTGTGTGTGTGATTTCGACTGGTGTTTGCACCGAGCCGCCCAAAACAGATGCCCCCCAGCCGCCGGCAGCTCCCAATAGTTGCCAGCAGGTGGGGCATGCGGGGGGCATTTGTCTGCGGCAGTTCGGTGCACCAGCGCATCGAACTCATGCCCCCCCTCAGGGTTCGCCCCTCCTTTTGGTAGATCCGAGTAAAGACATGAACTACAAGCTGAGGCCAAGTCTCGTACTCACGCTGCTCACACAAGGTACGCTGTGTTCAATATTTGATGCTCTTGCCAGGAGGACCAGGCACTCAGTCATGAGCACACGCTGAATCATGTGTGTTCTTGTCGTTTCCCGGTCCTCCAAGAGGGACAGCGTGCTATAGGCGCGCTTGCCTCCCTTGCAGGGTCGCCGCCGGCGCTTCCCTGCGATGGCAGCTTCTCTCGTTCGTTCGTTCACCAGGGGCGTGTTTTTTGTTTAGATTGAGGCAGGTTCATTTGGATGGCATTCTCCACCCACTCCGCCGCCATTTCCAACTGCGCTGGGCCCAGAGGGCGTGTGCAAGCCAGTCCCGACTTGCAAGTGGAGTCCAGATTTTCGTTCGGGCCTCGCCACGCCCGTCGCACCCCCCCTCCATCCCTGACCTTCCAGAGAGCTATTTTTTAGCACGGGAGGCCTACCTAAAAACTTAAAAATCGAAACGAAACAGCCTGAAACCAAGACACATAATAGCTCTGGGATAGGTTTTTACGTCGGGTGTTATTTTTTTAGCCCTCCTGGAAGGTCAGGGATGCAAGCAGACTCGCCATAATCGGCAGAAAAGCTGCTTCCATTCAGCAGGAGGAGAACCCGCCGCAGATCGGCGATCGGCGTTCGATCCATACCCCTGCTGCTGCTGCTGCTGCCCCCACATTCTGGGCGCCAGGTGCGGCGGGGTATGGATGATCGGATAACAGAAAGTGGCCTCAGAGGCCAGGACTTTCTCAATAACCCCCGCTCTGGCCCCTCGTGGGGGTCGGGGCGTGAGCAGGGGCATGGGTAACATTCCGATCGCCTAGCACCTCCCCCTCCCACTGTCAACCGTATGCCCTTCACCATTTAGATGTGTCACCTCTCGCTTCATCCTTCTCGCCTTGTTTCTCCTTGTCCCCCATCTTTCCTGATGCTCTTGCGCCCCGCTGCCGTTTAGGGCCCTTGAGCCAGGGCGCCCTTCCGGGAAAAGATGCGATCCTCGATCGACGAACCGATCCGAGATCGACATAGTTGGTAGCGGTGCTACGGCTCCACGGACTAGCGCGCGCGGGGATCCTAGATCGGCAGATCGTCATCGGCCATGACATCCGCCATCTTCGAGGGATCTGGTGTGAAAGCCTGCCCAATAGCCGGTCCATCGCAAAGCTGGGAAAGCTATGAAGGAGACCTGCAAGCATGGCATCTGAGCACCGAGCTGAAAGCTACGACTATCGGCCCCCGCGTAAAGTCCAGAGGTTTTTCTGCGAACAACACGTTTAAAAACCAAGCCAAGCTGTTAGACATGAGCCGTCTTAGTAGCGACCCTATAGGCGAAACCGGAGCAACTGGGAAGTTAGGTTTCGATTACTTGGTAGAGTTCATGCAAACAGAAAACAGAACAAAAGACGACGTAGCTAAGATCATCCGTTTTGCTTCCTGGCTGGAGTTGAAACGGGGTAACCAGAAAGTAGAAGACTACGTGAACGAGTCGTTCCGCCTGCTACAGGAAGTAGACCAGGATCGGTCCGTTGTCTTAGAGGGTTTTGTGAAATCGTTGATTTCGATCATCAACGCACAATTCACGCAACAACAACTGAGCAACTTGTCGACGAGACTCGACTTGGACGCCATTCTGATTTTAGCTAAAACCAAGAGCGCGATCCTTAAAGTACTAGGAGACAGCCCTTTAGCCAAAACGGCGGAGCACCGAGGCTACGAAGCCTGGGAAGACTGGCTTTCAGAGGGCTTTGAACAAGACTGGGACGAACAGAGCTGGCAGGAAGCTAGTTGGACAGAGAAGCGAACTACGGCCAAAAAGGCTGTTTGCGTTGTGGCAGTCCAAGCCACTGGGTCGACAAATGCCCACACCCACCGAAAAGAAAAGGCAAGGGCATTGACAAGGGCAAGACTGGCAAAACGCCTTTGGGAAAAGGCAAAGCAAGCTGGTCCAGGGGCTACTCGAGCGGACAGCCGAAGCCCGCGACGAGCAAAACCAAAAGCAACAATAGCAAAGGCAAATCCCAGGCAGGGAAGAGCCGAGCAAAAGGAAAATCGTCATTCGCTTTCGCCGCCGACGGGTGGGAAAGCTGGATTGGCGGTTGGTCCGAGAGCTCTGACTGGGCCGCAACGGACTGGAACTGCACGCAGCACCAGGACCCGGATGCGTCCGCAGTCCTCGCGTGGTCGTTTATGGCTGCTTCAGCGTCTGGACCGCCGCGCTCGGGCTTCCCAGCCGGTGGAAAAGGCAGCAGCCAACCAGCGTCGTCGTCAGCCTCCTTGTCTGGACCGCCGTGCTCGGGCTTCCCAGCTGGTGGAAAGGCAACGGGCAACCAGCGTCGTCGTCCACGGCTGCCCCTTCGTCTGGACCGCTGTGCTGGAGTTTCCCGGCTGGTGGAAAATACAGCAGCCAGGCAACGTCTGCTGGACCGCCGTGCTGGAGCTTCCCGGCTGGTGGAAAGGATGACGCTTGCGCCTCGTCCGTAGTGCCGCCTGTGGCTGCCCACAGCGACGGTTGTCCGCGCCGCGTCGTTCAGGTCAGCTGCTGTGGCAAAGTGATGTCGCAGTACAGGTGCATGTACCACCGAGTGCGGCAACGCGTTCTTCGCGTGCGAGCCGTGCACCCCAGTGGACATGAGCCTCTGCGAGCCGTGCTGGTGCTTGGGCCTTGCCCCAGAGAAGCGCGGAAGCGGCGGTTACGACGACGAAGACGAAGACGACTCTGAGCACGACAGCGACGACAACGACGACGGTCGCGACACCACGCTGGAAGAAATTATCCTGGCGAAGGACCCAGCCATATGCAAACGTGAATGCCGCAGGGCAGGTGGAACGAAGCAAAACGAATTCTCTATGGGGCCACGAACCGCGTGAAGGCTGCGCCAAAACGGGGCGGGGCCGCCATGCGAACCTGGCCACCAGGGCCTTCGGTGGAGCTCCCGATGGAGCCACGAACCGTGTGAGGGGTGCGCCAAAATGGGGCGGGGCCGCCATGCGAACCCTGCCACTGGGGCCTTCGGTGGAGCTCCCTATGGGGCAACGAACCGTGTGAGGGGTGCGCCAAAATGGGGCGGGGCCGCCATGCGAACCCTGCCGCTGGGGCCTTCGGTGGAGCTCACTGTGGGGCCATGTGGGGCCACAAACCGTGTGAGGGGTGCGTCAAAATGAGGCGGGGCCGCCATGCGAACCCTGCCGCTGGGGCCTTCGGTGGAGCTCCCTATGGGGCCGCGAACCGTGTGAGGGGTGCGCCGCAATGGGGCGGGGCCGCCATGCGAACCCTGCCACTGGGGCCTTCGCTGGAGCTCCCTATGGGGCCGCGATCCCCGTGCGGGGTGTGCCGAAATGGGGCGGGGCCGCCATGCGAACCCTGCCACTGGGGCCCTCGGTGAAGCTCCCACGGAGCCACGATCCTCGTGAGGGGTGCGCCGCAATGGGGCGGGGCCGCCAGGCGAACCCTGGCACTGAGGCCTTCGGTGGAGCTCCCTATGGGGCAACGAACCGTGTGAGGGGTGCGCCAAAATGAGGCGGGGCCGCCATGCGAACCCTGCCACTGGGGCCTTCGGTGGAGCTCCCTATGGGGCCACGAACCGTGTGAGGGGTGCGCCGAAATGGGGCGGGGCCGCCATGTGAACCGCCATTGGGGCCTTCGGTGGAGCTCCCTATGGGGCCACGAACCGTGTGAGGGGGGCGCCAAAATGGGGCGGGGCCGCCATGCGAACCCTGCCACTGGGGCCTTCGGTGGAGCTCCCTACTCGGGCCTTATGATGATGATGATGGTGATGATGATGATGCTGATGATGATGATGACGGCGATGATGATGACGACGGCGACGATGATGATGATGATGCTGATGATGATGATGACGATGATGATGGTGGGAGGAGGGAGGAGGGGGGGAGGAGGAGAGGAGTGAGGACGCGGGCGCTGTCTCTTCAAAACGAGGACCCAACACCACAGGATGGTTGGGAAAAAAAGGGCTCAACAGCAACAGCTTTGCCTGCGACCGTGTTAGAAGACAGCATGCACGCAGACATTGGCGACCACGAGGCCATCATAGACTCTGGTTGCTCCAAGGGCATGGTCAGCAAGAGACGCCTGGAAAACTTCAAAGCCTTGCTTCAACAGGAATACCCCGAGCTCTACGTGAGCGAAGGGCCGTCGAACACGAAGTATCGGTTCGTTGGTGGCGACCCGAAGACGGCGGAAGCCGTTGCAACCGTACTTGTCCAACACCTGAATGCCACCACAGAGTTCGAAGTGCTGAACACTGGCCCCGAACAGACAAAGGCCACGCCTTTCTTGTTGGGAAAGCCGCAGCTAAATAATCTGAAAGCAGTGATCGACTTCGAAACGGACACCATGTACTCGAAAACCACAGGCACCACTGTCCAACTGAAAACTTCGAGTGCGGGACATTACCTGTTCCCTCTCATGTTGCCCAACAGTGTTGCCGCGGTAGCAACAGAGGCACATGACTGCGATTTTGCGCCTCTTACTGACGCAACAGCTTTCGAAACTGTGACCGTTCAAGAGCACCCGAGAGCCTTCGCGGTGTTTCTTCCGCCGCGGCTGGGGGAACTTCGCGCCGACCTTCAGACGGAAGCTGGTCTCAAACGGATGCACGACAAGCTCGCGCACCCGACCGTGGACCAGTTGATGCGACGTATCACTCCTGCCTTGCTTCACGAGAAGTGTCACAGGTCAGAAAGCTTGCCGAAAAAGTCACGAAGTGTTGCAAGATCTGTGACAAGTTCCGTAAACCACACGCGCACCCAAAGACTTCTGGCATGTCTGCGAGAAGTGTAAACGACCTTGTGTGTATTGATTCCTTTGAAGTGTCAGTATGCGGAAGCAGGTACATCTTTCATCACATGGCCGATTCTTTCTCGAAGTGGTCGCTCGCGGAGTATACGTGCACCCGTGAACCTTCTGGAGCACTTTCTACCCTCTCAAGGTGGCAGTCGGTCTACGGATGGCTCCCGCGCAGCGTTCTTACGGACAACGGCGGCGAGTATCAGACCAAGGAGGTAGAAACGTTCTTGATGCATCACGCCACAAGGCATTTTTGGATTCCTCCTCATACTCCCGCCTTTGCGGGCTTAGTAGAGCGCCGCAACGGCGTGCTCAAAATGGTTTTCTACAAGCTCGCCGAAAACTTCAAAACGGAACTGATCAGTGGCACTCTGACGCCGACGGACGTCATGTTCCAGGCGTGCGCTGCCAAGAACAGCCTCGTTCGTAGGTGTGGTTTTTCCTCTCAGTTCCTCGCTTTCGGAAACAATCATTTCTTCGACCAGATCGATGAGTGCGAGCCGCCACAGCCGGAGGCGTTCAGAACAGACGCCGCTGTCCACGCTCAGGCCAGGTTGTCTCTCCGTCGTGCTGCTCAGGCTGTCGCTGTGCAGATCCAGACATTTTCCGAGCTTCGTGATCTCTTCAACTCCCGTCTTGCGGGCACCACTGGCCCTCTCGACTCGGGAACAGAAGTCGATTACATCGCAGATGACACCCCGAAGGCAAAAACAGCCGGAACAGCTTGGACAGGACCTGCCGTAGTGCTCGGCATGGAAGGGAACCAGAAAGTGCGGCTCAGAACCCCCGGTGGCAAAGCCATAGCTGTCCACAGGCACCGGGTACGACCAAAAGAAAACAGAGGGCTTTTGGAGCTACGAGTGCAAGCGGGACCACAAATACAACCACCAGGCCACCACAACAACCACCTGCACCAAAGCAAGGAAACAGCGCGCCACCAACAGCGCGCGTGAATGAAAAGCCGCAAGACGACGATTCTGCGCCAACACCTCCACCACAAGCTCCACCTCCGTACCTCCCTCATGCTGCCGGGGTTCGTCCGGCCCCTGCCGGTTTTCCAGGACCTGCGAGCTTGGGCTTCCCGGCCGCGGGAAATTGGATTCCAGCGTCTACGGGCGTGCTGCTGCCGCCGCCTCCCTCCGCGCCGCCAGTGTTTCCACGGCAGGCAGCGCCGCCCTTCGGCGCCGCTTCCGTGCCGCCCCCGGCACAAGCTGCTTACGAACCTCTGCGCCGACACAGGGCGAAGTCTGCACCAGGAGCAGGGGGAGCAGGCAAAGGCAAAGGAGGAGAAGGAGGGGGACCAGGAAAAGGAAGAGGCACAGGAGGAACGTCATCTTCATCAGCGGCCAGGCATACAGGAGCGAAGCGTGAAACGTCCTCCGAAATCACTGACGACCAGCCAGCGCACAAGTCGCCGATGCTTCCCAATTCGGGCGACGAGCTGTTAGCCTCGGCCTAAAATGATTTAGACGATTCGTTTTTCACAGTGCTTGAGCAGTGGTGTGGCTACGCTGCCGTCCACGAGGTGTGCCGTTCCTGCCCGGCAGACGCCGCTGTCGTAGGAGAGTCGGTCCTGGGCGCTCTCGTGGTAGCAAAAACCATGAAGCGTGCGAAAGAGATTCCTTCTCGAATCGCTGAGTCAGACCCTTCTTCCGAAGCACCACGTCTGAAGGAACTCAACGCCGTCCCCGAAAACTTCGACGAGGTACGCCTGCCGCCAGGGACTGCCGCCGTTCCTTCCAGGTTTGTGTACACCGCCAAGGAAGGAGAGGCTAAAGCACGTTTGGTGGTGCAGGGCTGTTTTGAACCAGGGGCTGAGAATCATGTCGTTGATTCCCCAACGCTCAACAGAAACTGTCAGATTCCTGTTGTGGTTAGCAGCCGTGCACGGATGGGCGCCAGAAGCTTGGGACGTCCGCGAAGCGTTCCTGCAGGCAGAAACCGACGCCGATCCACACTACGACAGTTCTCCAGTCTTCGTTGTGCCACCCAAAAGCGTATCGATCCGGCCTGGATTCGTATGGAGGTTGCACAGGGGGAAGACGTTGTACGGTCTCCGCAGGGCGCCGCGTGCGTGGTTCTTCCACATGCGCCGTCTTCTTTTGGAACGCGGCTTCCAGCAGTCCATTTGGGACCCCCTGCGTGTTTCTTTACTTCGAAGACGGCCGTCTCACAGGTTTCGTCGGGCTCCACGTCGACGACGCGTTGCTGGCAGGGGCAGGGAAGTTCTGGGATGCCATCGATTCGTTACCCCCCCAATGGGGCACCCATCAGGAGGACGACTTTACGTTCTGCGGGTTGCACATCTCAGTAAAACTTCCATGGATTCCTTTAGATCAGAAGGAGTATTGTCGCTCCTTGACGCTGATCTCCGCGCCGCCCCACCGCTCCAGACACCCCAGCGCTCCCGTGACAGAGCAGGAACGTGCTGCACTACGAGCTGCCCTCGGCGAGCAGATCTGGTGCACTGATCAGAGCTGTCCTCACGGCGCTTTTGCTTGCAGTTCCCTTGCTTCCAAAGAGCAGTCTGCAACAGTATCCACCCTCCTTGAAACCAACAAGAACGCTAGAATACTTAAAGGGGAGGATGTGGTTTTGTATGTTGGGCCTATGGATATTTCAAAAATCGGCGTTTACACGTACGGCGATTCGTCCAAAGGCAAACCGCCGCAGCGAGGCATGACCACCTTCATAGGAGAAACGATCCCAGAGGGTGTTTGTCCCATTGTGCGTGCGTATCTTCACCGTTGGGCTTCTAAGAAGCAAACCAGGTCGATTAGCTCCACGATGGCCACTGAAAGCCTCGCTGCCGAAAGCGCCCTCGATGTGCAGCACGCGACGCGGAGGAGGATTCAAGAGGCATTGAATCTAGAAGAGCCGCCTGCTGGATTCCTGCTGACAGATTCGTGGTCCCTTGTCACGAATACGTACTCCACCACACCACACATCACATAATAAGATTCGATACCGTCTTCGAGTCGTATCAGAGAGGCCTGTGTTGGTTGGCAGAGAACAGTAAACAGCAAAGTTCTTCCTAGTGATTTGTCTTGGGTGCATGATGCCAGTATGGTCGCGGATCCGCTCACCAAGCCAAACAGCAATCCATCGAAAATCCTCGATCCGATCAGGTCGTGTTCGATTGATTTGCGTTCGGCGGCAGGACCGACAAGCGCTGCTTCGTGCTACATGTCGCAGCCTGTTGTGGCTCAAAGCGGACCGCCGTGCTGTGGCCTCCCGGCCGGCGGAAAGCTTGAGTTCGCGATGGTTGCAACAACTGCCATTGGTGCTCGGCCCCGGCCTGCCGCAGCGCCAGGGACCACGAACACAGCGTCTGCTCCGGCGCCGCCTCCGAGCCGGACGCCTCCAGCACCTCCGCCGCGCCGGCCGCCACCTACAGTGCCGACGCCGCCGGTGGAGGAGCAGCTGGCCGTTGTGCCTGCCCGCAGGCTCAATGTGATCGAGCGGCATTTGGTCACAGAGAGCCTCCTGAGCTTCCGCTCCGAAGTGCCGGCGCTTCGCCGCACGCAGGGCCACCAAGATCTCGATCGGCCAGAGCAGGCAGAGAGGGCGGTGAGCCTCTTGAGGCAGCAGGTGCACGCGCAGCAGAAGGACAACATGTTGACAGACATGCTCGATCAGGACAAGCAGCTTCGAGAAGCTGGCGCGCCTCCGCCGTGGCGTAAGCAGAAGCATCTTAATGTCTTGTACCGCCGAGACGTTGACCTCTGTGGACACTGGATGTCTGCCCGCTTGCTCCGGGACCGCGAGAGATCCAAGAGACAGCGTGCCCAGATCAGGCTGGAGGAAGCAGCGAGGGCCAGGGAGGAGAGAGCTCTGTCCCCAGAGCCCGCTTCCAGCCCGCCCGGGTCGCCTGCCGAGGCAGACCCCCCTGCTTCAAGCCAGGCTCCGGCGAGACAGGCGAAACCAGGACCTCCGCAGGTCGATGCGTCTCCCTCTCCGAGCAGTGACAGCGACGCGGATACCCTCAGCTGCGACGGCGACGACAATGGAAGCGCCCCGAGCAGGCGCGAATATAATCGCGCTGCCAAAGCGGCCTCCGACAACGAGGCGAAGGACTGGCGCGGGCTCTTCTCGCAGACCACGGACTGCCCCAAGCTGAGGCTCTCCACAGACCGGAACCTGAAGCGCAAGCCCCCGACCCCGGCCAGGCGCAGGAAACGCTCTGACAAGCGGAAGGCAAAGGAACAGGCGAAGGCGGAAGCAAAGAAGGCCGCAAAGACAGCCATTTCCTGAACTGAACTGAGCTTTTCCTTTTCCTAGCTGCCTTTTCTTTTTTCGTACGGAAACAGAAGAAAGAATGGTGAGGTTGTCAACCGTATGCCCTTCACCATTTAGATGTGTCACCTCTCGCTTCATCCTTCTCGCCTTGTTTCTCCTTGCCCCCCATCTTTCCTGATGCTTTTGCGCCCCGCTGCCGTTTAGGGCCCTTGAGCCAGGGCGCCCTTCCGGGAAAAGATGCGATCTTCGATCGACGAACCGATCCGAGATCGACGCCCACCACGCACCGTCCCTTCTTATCCTGCTGCGCCGCAGCCCGCGCTACCCATCACTGGCCCTCCCCCACGATGCGCTCCTCCTCCTATGACTGCCCCCCTCCCCCCCGCCCCCATCACCTGCGCGCCTACGGCGAAAAGGACTTCCCCCTCATTGGGGTCGGGGCGTGAGCAGGGGGAGGAGGACGAGGGAGGAGGAGGAGGAGGAGGAGGAGGAAGAGGAGGAGGAGGAGGAGGAGAAGGAGGAGAAGGAGGAGGAGGAGGAGGGGGGGGGAGCGGGAGGAGGGGGAGGGGGAGGGGAGGGGGAGGGGAGGAGGAGGAGGAGGAGGAGGAGGAGGAGGAGGAGGAGGAGGAGGAGGAGGAGGAGGAGGAGGAGGAGGAGGAGGAGGAGGAGGAGGAGGAGGAGGAGAGGAGGAGGAGGAAGGGAGAGGAGGGCGTCGGCGCTGCTGGGCATGCAACGTGGAGGCAGGGAGGAGGGAGGAGGATGAAGAGGAGGTGGAGGAGGAGGAAGTGCAGGAGAAGGAGGAGGGAGGAGGAGGAGGAGGAGGAGGAGGAGGAAAAGGAGGAAAGGGAGGAGGAGGAGGAGGAGGAGGAGGAGGAGGAGGAGGAGGAGGAGGAGGAGGAGGGGGAGGGGGAAGGAGAGGAGTAGGAACAGGATGAAATAGATGAAGCTTCGACCGCCCAGCAGAACCCCCCCTCCCCAGGAGCGCCGCTGCGGCCGAGCACGACGCCGGCGAGGCGCGGCCGCCGGTGCCCTCCGCGCCGCCGCGCCCGGCCGGGGCCGCTGGGGACCCGCGCCACCGCCGCCGCCGTGGGGCCTTCAACCTCCTCTTCAACCTCCTCCTCCTCCTCCTCCTCCGCCTCCTCCTCCTCCTCCTGCTCCTTCTCCTGTCCTCAGTCAGGCGATCGCAAACATGGATCAAGGGGGCGTGGATAAGCGACGGGTCCCGTTTTCATGGGAAATCGCGGATTTCCGCCGGCACCGCCGGCCGCACTTTGGGGGAGGGCTCCTCCCCCGATCCATGTTTGCGCTCCCCCGACTCAGGTGAGCGACGCAAGAGAGTCGCCTCCCAGATGGGGTCCGAGTACGGAGATCGGTTCGGAGGATCGCGCCGCATCGCCGATAGATCGACCATGCGGCTCGATGCGGAACCCGGTCAGACGGTGCCAATGGCACCGCCGACGTCGCCGATGCATCGCCGACGCATCGCCGATGTATCGCCGATGCATCGGTGATGCGGCGCGACCTTCCGACCCCATCTACTCGGACCGTATCTAGGAGGCCTCTAGAGAAGGGGCCGGAGGGGGAGGGAGGGAGAGGGAAGGTTGAGTTCTTCTTTGGGGGATGTTTTGGCAAGCGCGACGTGCTGACCGGTCAAACAGAACGGAGCAACCGGGAACCCAGAACCCGCGTGCCCACTAGACTACCCCGCGGGGTGCAGGCACTTGTCGGCCCCTTCGCCCCCGCGAGAGGGAGTGTTTGTTTGCAGTGTTGTGTTGGCGGTATTGCGGGGTGGGCGCCCATGCAATCAATGGTGAGTTCTATAGTCACTACTATTTGGGCGTATTCTTTGCTTTTCTGAGGGTGCACGCCAGAAGTCACCGGTTACGTCGGCGTTGCAGAAGGTATTTCGCTTCGGTTGGCGATCTCAGCGGCCCGCTTGCACGCATGGAGGCCGTGATCTGACGATGGGACAGTTATCAGCAGGTCGGTTGCGAGTTAGTTCTACCTCGGGTGTGGGCGTTGGAAGGCACGCGGGCGGCCGCGGCTGTTTGCTGCTGACAGCCGCGCCCACCCTTGATCCAGCTTTCAGCATTGTGGCACGGCCGGCCTCGCCTGCTTCCTACAAGATCACGCCCACGCTGATGGCCCAAATTTCCACCACCACTACCATATGTAGCACGGGGGGGGAAAGGGAGGATGGGGAGGTCCTCCTCCTCTTCCTCCTCCTCCTCTTCCTCCTCTTCCTCCTCCTCCTCCTCCTCCCTCTCCTACTCATGGTAGTGGTGGTGGCGGTGGTGGATAATCGGCCCAATACACGCGCCTCCGACCCCCCTTGGCTTCCTCATGGCGTGAGGCCTGAAGCTCCTGAACCCATCCCCGAGACTGAGCTTGAGCCGCGGAGGGTCTTTGGCGGGCTCCGGGGCCCAGGAGAGGGATCTGGGTCGGTGATCTTCAGGACGTCCTGCATCTTCATGTGTGTGTATGTGTGTGTGTGTCTGTGTGTGTGTCTGTGTGTGTGCGTGCGTGCGTGCGTGCGTGCGTGCGTGCGTGTGTGTGTGTGTGTGTGCTCAGCGACACACGCAGGCGGTCGCGGGCGCGGGTGCCGTTCTGGCGGGGCGCGCCGTGTGCGAAGCGCAGGGTCAGGTCGGGCACGTCCCCCCTACAGGAGGGATATTCAAAAATAGTCCGACAATGGTCACGGGGGCGGCCAGGAGGGGGGTGATGACTAGGGCGGGGAATCTCATGGCCAGGGCCATGATATCTCCCCAGATTTCATGGCGCCTCTTCTTTTTACAATTCGTCCCCGCCCCCCCCCCCCTGGGCTGCGCACATGCCGCCGGCCATGATTTGCGCCTCCCCCCCCCCCCCTCTTGGACGCCCCCCCTTGGCCGCCCCCGATAGTCTGGGGACGAGTCTTTGTTGACTATTTTGGTGTACTTTTTGACTATGCCTCATTTTTCGTCCATAGTCCGCCTGCAGGAGGACACGCCCGACCTGGGCGCAGGGACAGGTGGAGAGAGAGAAGAGGGCGGCCGCGGAGGAGCAGAAGAGGGGGAGCCCGTTCGCCAAGAGACTCGGCGGGAGAGGGGAGGGGAGCGGCGGCATCCGGCACCGAACCCGGAGTGTGGACGTTGGCGCTGGCACACGTCCTGAGGTTCATCGACTGGGGCGCCGAGGCAATTAGGGGAACGAGCAGTGACATAAACATAAAAGCTCGGAGGTCCGCGCGGATGTCTCGGATCCGCGTTGGGCCCCCCTCCCTGGCGTAAGCGCCCTTGTTTCCATACCAGCGCGCCGCGCTGGCTGCCCGCGCGAGCCACCGCGCAAGGCCGCTGGGTCGTCGACGAGTGTGGCCCGCTTCTTCTCGCCGCTCACGTGATGCTCTGAGACTAGGGGACAAACAATAGCAGAAGCATATAAACTTGGAGGTCCGCGCGGATTTCTCGGATCGACGTTGGACCCCCCCCGTCCGGGGCGCGCGGAGCGCGCCATGGGCGGCGCCAGAGGCGCCGCCAGGGGGCCCCAGCGCCGATCCGAGAAATCCGCGCGGACCTCCGAGTTTTTATGTTTATGTCATTCTTCATTCCCCTAGCAACTCAAGGGAGGCAAAAATACCTGGACGGGACAATTGGCGTTCACTAAACTGCCCTGGGCGTTTACTGATCAGCTCTGCCCTGTTCGATTCCTCTTTGGGCGCTTTTAGTAAGCGACCTCGCGTGTCGGGGTGGTTATTATGGGAGTGGATGTTTTGACTTCTAGGCTTAGGTCGGGCATGTCTCCCTACAGGCGGATTTAGAAGGACAAATTTCAACTATTCAAACCATGATCAAAAAGCACCCACAAACAATCAAAACATCGTCCCCAGACTGTTTTGTTTCAATTTTTCTTTTTCATACTCCTCCTGAATAGAGACGTGCCCGACTTAGTTCTAGGTACGGCACCCCACCCTTCCAGCGCTGGCGGCAGGACGGCTCCGGTGGCCGACCCGCGGACGCGCCGGCTGCCGCGGCGCCCGTCGCCGCCGTGAGCGACGGCTTCGCAGGCAGGCCCGCGGACAGGCCAGCTGCCGCGGCGCCGGGCGCCGCCGTGAACGGCCAAGGCCAGCGGGGAGGAGGAGGAGGAGGAGGAGGAGGAGGAGGAGGAGGAGGAGGAGGAGGAGGAGGAGGAGGAGGAGGAGGAGGAGGAGGAGGCAGGGAGGAGGAGGAGGAGGAGGAGGGACAAGGAGGAGGTGGAGGAAGGAGGAGGAGGAGGAGGAGGAGGAGGAGGAGGAGGAGGAGGAGGAGGAGAGGGGGAGGAGGAGGAGGGAGGAGGAGGAGGAGGAGGCGGAGGAGGAGGAGGAGGAGGAGGAGGCGCCAGGCGCCGCCGTGAACGGCCAACGCCAGCGGGGAAGGAGGGGAGGAGGAGGAGGAGGAGGAAGGAGGAGGAGCAGGAGGAGCAGGAGGAGGAGGAGGAGGAGGAGGACAAGGAGGGAGGAGGAGGAGGAGGGAGGAGGAGGAGTAGCAGGAGGAGGAGGAGGCGGAGGAGGAGGAGGAGGAGGAAGAGGAAGAGGAGGAGGAGGAGGAGGAGGAGGAGGAGGAGGAGGAGGAGGAGGAGGAGGAGGATGATCGGCCCACCGAGGGGGCGCGGTCGTGGCCAGAGACACGCCGCGGCCCTTGTGACCGAGCCTTCTACTTCGGGCGTGCACGCTTGGCTTTGCCTGCTTTAAGGGGCTTAATGGAGTCCCCAGAGGGCCAAATCTTGGCCGAAACATTCGGTGGCTGGCAATTCGCTAACCCACGCAACGCCTCCCGTCCACTGTCAGTGCCCACACCACCTGGACAAGGGACGGGGAGTTGGTTGAGCCCACCACCTCCAGTGCTCGTGCAGCTGCCGAGCCTCGCGCACGTCGTACACCAAAGCTGACCATTCATAATTAGCATCGAATGGGTCGGGTGTATGACCTTACCTCCAACTGTAAGTGAGGGGTACGCAGAGGGCGGGATGGGCAGGGGCACGTTATAACAAGAAACAAACGCTCTACCTTTGCACGGGTGGGCCTGCATCCAGTTCTCAACGGCTTCTCGCGTGGGGCCAAGCTTACAATGAAAACAGAACCAGCGTTTCTTATCCTTTGGGCGCTGCTGCATACAGTGGCCCGTGGCACGCTCAAGCACCCGCTGAAGCGCGACTATCTTCACAGGCCTGCGGCGAGTGCGCACACCCAAAGGACGCTGGTGCTTGACCCTGGGGAGCGAGTTGACAGCCGTAGCAACAGCAGCAAAACGCTTGTGGACCCGTTGCAGGAGAGCTTCATAGGCATTCAAAGAATCTAATTGAGGCTGGATCAAATTCAAGGCTTTCCCGAGGCCACGTTGGGCCAGGGCGTCAGCTCGTTCATTACCTAGTGTTACAAACCAGGGCTGGGGAGCTACGCTCAGGCTCACGGCATCGAGATGGGAGTTGCACTTCTTCACGCTGACATTGGAGATCCTGTCGGGCCTCTGGAGGATAGCCTGCTTGATCCGCTGCCACCACTGCATATGGGGACCTTGAGGGTAAAGCCACAACCGAGAGTTCCAACCACGGTACACTAGGGCATTGTCGGCCCAGATCTCGAGGGCCCCCTGGGTGTAGAGGAGACAGTAGTACAGGCCAGCCAATTCAGCACAGGGAGCCGTCTGACGGCCGTCGATGGTGCCGAAAATCCCAGGAAAACGATCCGAAGCAGGAGACCTGTCGAAATCGAGAGCGACCCCCCAGCCTCCACGAGCAATACGGGCATCTGCTGAATTGGCGGAGCCGTCGAGGTAGGCCTTGCAGGCCTGGATCGGGTAACCGCTGATGCAAGAGTAGCCCTCGAACTGGGGCACCTGGATTGGCATGTCGACGTCGTAGACGACCTGGGCCTCATTCCATTCTGGGGCCTCTGGAACCTTGTTGAGCCTGGCGGGCGAGATACCACGGAACCAGAACATCTTCATATCAGGCTCAGCACTCACAGACTGAGCAGCTCTGTTCTTGAGGTCCTGGGTACGGCGGATCCAGTCATGGTCGATGTCATCATTTTTCTCGCACAGGTAGCAACGGTGCAGCAAGTCCTCAGCTGCCTTTCCACAGCGCGGGCACAAGGCTGGACAAACGTAGCCCGCTGCGGAGGTGCGCTGAGCAGTCCAGCAACTCCCAGTGATGATGTTCTCCAGCGCACCCGCTTCCTTGAAGAACTTCTTGCGTCTCATCCAGCGCAAGGTGCACTGCGTGGCTTGAAGATGACCTCCTTGTTCACAGCCAAGGCCCTCAGGATGTTGACCAGCTTGCTTCCACAGGTCGGCTTCAACGCGGGCATGCACTGCATCGAAGAGGGAATTCAAATCTGTGTCATCGGGGTTGTAGGTCCAATCATTGCCATCTGGGTCCGTCCAGCGGTCAGGGTGACGAAGTTGCCAGCCAATCTCGCCCATGCCGACGATCAGGGCAGCCATGGGCCCTGTGACCGATCGCCGCTTGGACTTGGCACGGATCTGGGCCATCTTGGCATACACAGCCTCCCATCCCAACCGAACTCGAGCTTGGCACGGTTCTTGCTGCGCCCAGAATGTGAACCACTCCGTGATCTGGCGTCTGAGATTGATAGATAGCGGGTCCTGCTTATCGTAGATGTGGAGCATGATGGTCGAAGTGCATATGCCACCCACTGTAAAGCCTGCCATGGTAGCTGCCGTAGCTCGTTCCTGCTTGACTCGGGTAGCAGGCAGTCCCATGACGGAGGCGTCATAGATCCTCTTGGCCCGAAGGTTGGCGGTGCATAGCCTTGCTGTGACTTTGCGTCCAACTCCGCGCTTCTGGAAGATCTGCGCCCGTCGGAACCTCTTGGCTGTCGCTCTGGCTCTCTTGGCCGCAGTAGGAGTACGCCGTGATCCACCCACCGTCGAGTCGAAGCCGAGGTCCCTGGTTGTCTTGGCCGCTCGGATGTTGACGCCAACCTTGCGGATTGAGTGGATAACTGCCTGCTGAACTGAGCGGTGGCCTATGATGACGGTCTTCTCAGAGACCTTTAGTCCAGGCTTCTGAATTCCGTCGACGAGAGCTGCCGAGCCTTTTTCCATTTGATGTCGTGCGAGGGAACGGTGTCCTTCTGCCCGCACCATGAGATCGTCCACGAACTCTCGCATCATGAGGCCCTGGTAGCGCAAGTGGACATGCTCCAGCAGGTCGTATAGGTATGCCCTGGCCATGTTGTTCGCCGCTGTGCATCCAGCGAGTAGCCCATTATGTGGGACCACAGCACCAGAACTGTAGACATCTCGGACACGAATGATGCGTGGGCTGAGGTAAAGCAGGCAGGACATATACAGTACCACAGGTGAGAAGTCCAGCTTGGTGGCGAGGACGCACAGGAGGCTGATGTCCACATGGTCATAGAACTTCATAATGTCCAGGAACCGGGTGGCCACATCTGTGTCACCTCGCACGGCTCACGCCTCATCCAGTATGAGCGTCGTGAGCGCCGCCTGCAGTGACGAAGATCCTTTGATGGCTTTATCCCAGAAGCCAGCCTTGGCGTCGCACCACTGGCCTGTGAGGTACCGATTCATACGTCCCCAGACCCTGGCTGGCATGGGTAGCAAACCTATGGGCCTTTCATCGCCCGTGGTTACCGCTTCGCCTTTGGCAAGGAGACAAATCCAGATCTGCATGAGCTGGTAAGGCCAAGATAACCTGTGGACGCAAGAGTTCAACAACTGAACAAACTCCTGTTTCGCCTGCTGGCTGACCGCCTGGAGCGACGCACGTGACCATTGATCTGTGGAACGCGCCGTCTGCAGTGGAATACCTCTGAGAGCAGCTTGGAGATCGTCCATGGTGTAGTCGACCCAGTCCGTGTGAAGCTGCTCGCGCGCCTTGCGGCGCAGGGCATTCATGCTGTCGGTGAGGTCGCTGCCTGCCGAATGTGTGGTCCATCGCTCTTGCCACTTGGCTGCCCTGGCATCGACAGAGCCCTGAGGGTCGCCAATGACCTGGTGGTTATGGATGGCGGTGTCTAGCAGGTCCTTCTTCTCGGCCTTCGAGATATAGCGATGCGCTCCTTTAAGGCTGCCCTGCAGAGCTGTTTGGGCCCATTCCCTCACTGAGATCTGCGTTGCTGTCCATGTAGCCTTGGAGTTCGCCTCAGAGAAGGCGCGGGACCTGGCGAGCACATCAGAGATTACATCTGAGGTCGGGTACATCTGATCATATCGGACTTGATGGAGGATCGTACTGAGCTCGTGCCATCTCGCCTTCTGGGCAATCCTGGGGGGCCTTTGTCCTCATCTTCTGCACCGTGTCCACCATGTTGTCCAGGAGCTGCCTCGGACCTGCAGGAGGGCCAGGCTGGTCATGAGGCCCTGCGTCATCCGAGGCCTGGTCGTCTTCAGATTGCCGCCCATCATCCTCGGGCGGCGCTCCGTCTTGAAGGAGGTCTCGAAACATCTGACGCGCTCCGACGCCGATCTCCCCAGGGCCCCTATCAGTCTCTTGAGGCTTACTCCCAAGATGCCCAAGAGACCCGCCCAAGCCTTCCGCAACGTTGGCAACTGTCGGAGCTTGGCGCGATAGCGAGCATCCGGTATTAGAGTGTTCTGGCCGCTCTGCGTCTCGCAGACGTCCTCGTGGTAGAGGATGCAGCTCGCCTGGCTCCTCAGGCTCGCGCTGCAGCAGCTCCAGGTAGTCGAAGCAGTCGATGTCGTTGTTGATCGCGTCGAAGGGGTCCGCCTCTTCGTCGTCCATGCTGGTGACGGCCGGCCACGGTGTTGTGCACGTCGGAGCTGAAGATACGGCTTGGCCTGGAAGTTGTAGTCGGCCGCCGAAGGGGATGTCAGTCCACGGGTAGCACTGGTAAGACGGCGTGCGTGCAACCATGCGCGCAATAGGGTCATCCAGTACCGCGTCAGCAGCTTGGTGGTCTCGTTGGTCATCAGTCTTGGGCCTGATGGTGCCGATGTTCGCTTCACTCTGCGATTGGCGTCGCTCGCACTGTTTGACGAAGACTTGGAGCTGGCTGGTGAGACTGATCCAGGCGTTGGTCTCGAGCTGCTTGGTGCCTGCCTGGATGTACATGGGGTCGGGCTGGCGTATCATCTGCTCGAGCCGATAGCGCAGCGGCTGTCCTCTACGGCGCTCGTCACTGATCGGCATGGCATCCGTCAGGTTGAGTAGAGCAGCCTCCGCGGCCATGGCCCATCTGCCGCACGACTCCGCAAGGTCCCTAGCAGCGGCTGGGTCGAGTGCGTAGGCTATGCGCTGCTGCGTCTCTGAGCTGGCCTCCAAGATTGGGATGTCCTGGACCTGCTGCTTGTAGTTCTCCCAGGCTTCATGGTCGACGATGTACGGTATCTGTTTGACCTAGTGGTCTTGTAGCAGGTGGTCATGCACATCGCCGCCATGTTCCAATACCTCGCCATCTTCAGTATGGTGGAGCTGCGCATGGCGGTGACGATCATTCTGCTTCCTCTTGAGTCCTTTCTCAATGTGGATCTCGTGGTCTGGGATCTCAATGGGAGCTGGGAGGAGAGGACGAGTGCACATAACAGCAGCGGGCCTCGAGTGCATGCGGATCTCGGTGCCCACGCGCGGCTGCCACGGAACGTTATAAACAGGCTCGACGGACTTGACAAGCGGCAGGAACGTTGGCGAACATAGACCCCAATCTATCATACGCCCTGAGCTTCCCGCGCAGGTGAACTCGCAGTTGGGTTGAAGATACTCAGGCGCAAAAGCTTCGTGCCAACACGAGGCCCTGAACTGCTCTGGAGTGTTGTTGAAGTCGCCGTAGACCATCCACGGCGTGCCCAACGTGCGCACGAGCGTGAGCAGCTGGTTGAGCTTGGAGATGTTGGTAGGGAGATCCAGCCCTTTGGGGTCCGAGGTGAGGTAGATAGTGATGAAGGCGACCGTAACGTGCTTGAGGCGGACCATGGTGATTGCAATGTCATGGAGCTGCTGGCACAGTAGGTCATCGCCACACCCCGTGGCTAGATGCGGAAATGTGTTGAACTGTCTCGCTTGCGCCCAGAGAGCTCCCCCAGAGCTGCCCTTTCCCGACGTCGGCGTGGCTGGTGCCGTAGTATACTCAGTGCGCCACCCCATGCCTCTGAGGTGCCGCTGCTCGTCCCCGAGCTGCTTGCCATACAGGTGGGTTTCCACAAGCCCCATCCCTGCAGAACTCACGGACGGCGTAGGGCAAAGTTACTGCTGTTCGCATAGAAGACGCGCAGGTCGCGCGTCGCCATGCGCTGGGAGCGTAGGTCAGGAGCACTGCTGGCTCGTGCCCTTGCCCTCGCCCACGCCCTTGGTGGCTGCCATTTGAGCTGCGCGTGCACGGGTCTTCTCGTCCACGAACCGCTTGACTTCCTCTGTTTTCGTGAAGTCGTACTTGTTGGCTGTTGGCATTGGAGCAGCGGCTTCTTCGTTCTGGACGGCGTCGGTGGCTGCAGGGGCACCGCGGTGGTCTCCTTCGTCCTTCTTGCGCTTCTTGAGGGTGATGGTCTCGCGGTGCTTCTTGGCGGTGGCGACCGCATCACGAGCTTGCTCTCCAGTGCGGCGGTGGTTCTCCATGGCCTTCTTGGCCTTCGCGTGGATTGACTTCGCTTGATCATAGGCTGCGCGCTCTTCAGGGGCCAGGAGAGCCAGATCGCCTTCTTCCAGCACGGGGAAATCATATTCGCCTTCCTCTGCGGTCGGAGTAGGTGATGGAGGCTCTGCCCTACAGGTCCGAAGAAGAGTTGAAAGGCGTTCCACTTCAGATGAAACCTGCTGGGTCTCGTCGATGTTTCTGGTGAGCTTTTCAACCAATTCGTCTTGCCAGGCCGCTGCTCGCTGGAGCTGGGACTTGAGGCGCTCTTGCTGGCCTTGGAGCCTGCGCAGGGTAGCGGCTGCGTCCTCCAGCTGCTTGATCGTGGGCTTGGCTGGTGGCTGACTGGGCGCTGGGGCGCCTGGGAACTTCTCTGCCAGCATTCGAGCTCCCTCCTCATCGCCTTTTTCTTTGAGGGCTTCCACTGCCTTCTGCATGGTGGCTGCGACGGCGGGGTCCACGGGCGCTGTGTCCAGCTGGAAGCGCACCACGGATCCTGGGCGAAGGAGAGAGGTCCAGTCGTAGATGCCACACTTGTTACATTTCTCCCGTCCTGGCTTGAGCGCCTGAGTCTTCCAAATCCAGCTGGTACCAGGAGGGCAATGAGGACAAACCAGATAGTCATTCTTGCGCCTGCTGGCTGGCGATTGTGAACGGGGCTTGCCCTTCGGGTCCTTGGACCTCGGGCGGACCATGTCGTAGCCGTTGTTCTGGCCGTACTCCAGCGTCCCCACGATGGAGCAGCTGGCCAGAGAGAATGATGAATCCCAGGGATATCGCTGGCTCGGCAGAGCCACCCCTCAAGTCGGAACAAAAGTGTGCTGCACGCGGGCTTGCGCACAGCACCAGTTGTGGTGCCGACCCTGGGACTTTCGGTATGCAGAAACGCGCTGGCGGACCTGCAAGCCGAAATATACTTGAGGAGGAGGAGGAGGAGGAGGAGGAGGAGGTGGAGGAGGAGGAGGTGGAGGAGGAGGGTGAGGAGGAGGAGGAGGAGGAGGAGGAGGTGGAGGAGGGGAGGAGGAGCAAGAGGGTGAGCAGGACGAGGAGGATGGCCCAGGCCTCCAGGAGCACAGCCTCCGAGCCCGTCCGCCGCCTCGGCCGCCGGGCCCCGAGGCCCTGGCGCCGCGACGCCCGACATCGCTGGGCGCTCTCGCCCTAATACAATAATATTCCCTAGGGGGAATATCCAAAAATAGTAATTAAAAAATATGGCGACGATCTTCATATTCTTGTGGGGCATCTTTTGGATATGTTTTGAGCATGTTTTGTTCTTCGTCCCAAATCCCCCTGTAGGGGGACAGGCCCGACCTGACCCTTGCGCATCGATCCGGCTCGAGAACAGGAGCGAGCAAGGGCGACGCCAACACCACCACGGGAGGGGGGAGGGGAGCAAGAAGGGGTCTCCCTGGTGGTGCGGTCCCGCCTCCAGCCTCCCGCTCGGGGAGGCATCGTGGGCCTCCTCGCTGGAGGTGGCCCCCCTGGTGGCGTTGGTGGCGCTTCTCCTCCCTCCGACGAGAAGTGCCGACGAAATCGGGCGGGTAGTAATGGGGGTGACCCACATGGGGGATGAAGCGAAGGGCCCTACAGGGGCCTTTTTCTTCATCCCCATTTAGGCCACCCCCCAGTCCCGAAAGATGGAGTCGAGGCCTCCGGTCGTGACGCCCCACGATGTGGCATTCTGCGACGTCGGATGTCCCCAAAGATCATACGGCACACCTTCTTCGATGAGGGGTACCCGGAAGTCCCGACCCTTCCCCGGGGCCAACTTCGCATCCTGACTCGTTACTCGACGGCCTCCGGGCCCCATATACGGGCCCCCAAAGGCCGAGCATAGCAGCCCACAACAACTTCCGTCATTTCATTGTGTGTTCACGGCAAGGGGATGTCAGGGTCAGCGAACAAGTTGTCCATGTGAGGAACGGCCCAAGAAACCAGAGCCTCTCCTAAATCCTTCCTTCAATCTTGGCGGTGGGTAAGGTGTAGCTGGAACATAGTCTCGAGCGGAAACCACCCAATGCTGGAGCTGGCTCCGGGGCTATTCATCGCCAGCTCCCGGCAGTTCGTGCTGCTCGGGGACAGAGTGAGGCGAGAAAAGAAGGGAGCAGGCAGACGACAGCGAGCAGACGACAGCGGGACGCTTGACCAGGCAGGGGGACGGGCAGGCTGGAAGAGACGGAGGAAGATAGCAGGGCACAGACCCCCGACGTGGTGATCTCTTCGTGACCTGAACACCCAGAGACGGTCTCGACCCCTTCCCCAGACAAGCTTTTCATCCTCAGTCGTGTTTGACGGTCCCAGGGCCTGGAGAGGGCTCGCAGAGGCAGAAAACAGCAACGACTTGTTCACAACCCGAGGGGGGTCTGGGGGTGATGGGGAGACGGAGGAAGCGGAGAAGGCAATGGGAACCGAGGCCAAATTTCGTGGGCGCCTTCCACTCTCGCTGGGCCTCCAGGATCCGCCTCTTGTCACCACGGCCGCACCGCCGGTGAGGTCCTCAGATTCCGATCGTGATGGGGAGGGGACCCAGACATCCAACGTCTTCAACAGATCGAGACAGCTCCCCGACAATCAGAACACAAGTTATCAGCCCAAGGGAGTGGGTGGGGCCTTCAGCCTTCAGGGGACCCCGCACTTCCCGAAAGATGACATCAGAGGCATTCGGGAAACGACGTTTTCAGCCGAGAGCCCCCTGAAACGGCCCAAGAAGCCCAGGAGGCCCCCAGGAGGCCCCAAGCGACCCCAAAAGGCCCCCGAGAGGCCGCCAAGAAGCGGCCGGGAGGAGGAGGCTCCAAGGAGGCCGCAGGAGAATCCCCAAGAGGCATTCTCCGTGTCTTCATGTTCTACCTATCTTCCTCCTGTTCTTCCTCATCTTCCCTACCACACGGACGAAGACGAGGTCGAACTCACGATACGCCTCAGTTGAAGTTCAGACCGCTCGCTGAACTGCGGCAAGGCGCGACAGCGACTTCCCCCCCTAAAAAGTGACGAAGACGAGATCGAGCTCACGACCCGTCCCAAGTCAGAACAGTCGTCGGAATTACGCCGCTCCTACACTCAGTTTCCTTCCTGCTGCGCTGTTGCACAGGCGCGGTGGCGGGGTTTACCGCAGGCAGCTGGATGCGAGGGCCGAGAACCAGCTGGGCCGTCCAGGAGCCGCACCCCGAACGCGTTGTGTACACCGCGTCGTGGGGCCCTCGAGACCCTCCCCCCCCTCCCTCCCAACATCGCATGTGTTCCGTGACGTGGGCCTCCGGGCAGGAAACCACATGTAAACCCGACCCGTGCGAGTCAAATTTCTGAACAATCCGCTGCGGTTCTGAATCTGCAGGACGTCTGCAGCCACGTGAATGCCAGCGGGGGAGTCTGGCACCCTAGAAGCACATTGGACTGGCAAGGGGTGGAGTTCGCAAGTGGTCGCAGACCAGGAATCTCGACCCTTCCACGGGGCCACTGTTACCATCCCGAGACTGTTTTCAAATGGCCCCGGGACCTGGCAACGAGCTCCAGGGAGCCCCGGCATTGCCAACATCCTCCCGTCACTGTTTGTTGGCGCACGAGGGGGTTCGCGAGAAGATCGACGTGGCGCAACCGATGGAAACCGATTTCCATCGGCCGTGCCGTGTCGAAAGCCGAAAATTTGCACGCCCGAGATACGTACAATCGGACCCAAGACAGAAAAACAGCCCTCAAGAATGTGAGACTCTCCGCAGGCCGAAAAACACACAGAACATCCAGGGGCATCCTCCCCAGGATGCACCATCACGTCCAACAAACACGAAGAGCCTTAGGGCCCCCTCCCCCCTCCCCGAACCGACCTCGATCTCATACGGGCGGAACAAGGCCACAAGAACATCGGACAAGAACATGAGACCCTCCGCGGGCCAAAGTACCCCAAACCATAAGGACGTCGAGGACGCCCTTTCGAGGACGCCCTACCGTACCTCGGCCCGACTGTACGTAAAGCACTGGGCACGATGCCCATCCGCAAGCGCTGGCCCCAACCAGCGGCCAGCTCGTCTCGACGCAACTGGCCGCGGCCCGAACGCCGCGCCTCCCCCCCTCGTCCTCGCCATCCTCCCCCTGCTTCTCCTGTCGATGCTCCTCCTCCTCCTCCTCCTCCTCCTCCTCCTCCTCATACTGCTCATCCTTGTCCTCCTCCTTGCCCTTCTCCTCCTCGAAATCCTTGTCTTCCTCCTTGTCCTCCCTTTCTCATCCTCGTCGTGGTCGTATCCTGGTCAGAACCCGCTCCAGGACAAGCCAGGGAGGGGGGTGGGGGGGGGGGGGGAATTCTGAGGGTGGGACAGGGGGGATGAGCGAGAGGGGGGAAGAGAGGGAAGCGGGGCAGAACATGAGAGGGGAGGGCAGGGCGAGTGGCACTGCACATCTACTGCATGAGTCGCAACTCGAGCGACGGAATACGTCGCGCTGCACCCCTGCCTAGCAGGCTACACACGGCACGATAGGTATGCACATTACGGAGTCTTGCGCAACCAACAAGTCTGCGACACCAACTGCTGATGTCGCTTCGAACGGCGCTGAAAGTCAGCGACAGCGCCATTGCTTTATCAGGTGTTTACTC